TTCAGTTCAATAGGAAAAGCGATTACCGAATCAAACTTTTCTCGAAGTTTCTCTCGGGTCTTCGCGAAATCGAACTCGTCATGTTTTTCTTTGGGTTTCTTCTTCTCGAACGACTCTGTTTCGAGGAGTATCTCTGGTTCTTTAGTTTTGGACCAAATAGCTTCGGGTTTCTTCGGTGGCTCGCTTTTCTTGAAGGGATCTCCTTCAACATTCTTGTTATCTCTCTGAGGCAAAGACCGAAGCCATATTGAAGCATCTCGCAACACATCGACTGCTCGATCCATGTTTATCTCGACATATCAATCTTCTGCTAACGAATCTTTTCAGAATTGTCTTCCGTCGACACCTACTCCAAGCGGAAAACGTTCAATTTGCAACAAAAAAGGCAATCACAACCGCCACTTGAGAGTTAATTCAACCGCGCTGTCCAGTTGCTTTTAACCCAAACTTGTGGCTAGAAGGACTTTGATCTTCAGTTACACGGTGTCCAAGAAGCTTCAAGAGATCACTGTATGCAAATTTGTGTTTTTTTTCGTTCCTCTTGAAATACCACACACAAAGCGATTTTCGTGTTGATTTATGTACGAGCGATAATTCTTTTAAATTCGTAAAACGACGCGGCTGGTAAAAAATAACCAAGCACAAACTTGGTTTACCGGTGAATGAAAACGACATTTTCCATTTGCATTAAAGTTGCTAAGTAATTATTTCTAGGCCAAAGATCGCGTGTTATTTACATATCATTGAATAAGTCTATTTTTGCAGAGGAAGTTTTAACCGTTCCATTGACGAGTAAAATTGGTATTTTTAATACACAGAATTTAACAGGATGAGTGGTATCGATAAATTGATCAAACAAATCTAATGATTTTTGGCCAGCTGAAAATTGAAAACTGGAAACGAACGTTACACCTACTTACTCGATATCTGCATAATTTTCAAAGCAGCTGTCATAAAATCAAATACTTGCATATTCCTCCAACAGATTATTTTCGATGAGGCAAATTTTCCCGCCCTCTTCAATGTTCCTGTTGGCGCGTAAAGTAAACACATGTGCAACAACAGCACGGAAAAAATTGTCCAAGTCGTAAGTTGAATTTAAAACCTAAAATTCCCAACAGAATTCGACACTTTTTTCTCCTTACAGTATGAATATAATATCAAGTGGACAGGTAATGAAAATATAGGCTCCGTGTAGAGGTGGACTCTTTCTTTTCACGCGGAAAAAGTAGAGAGCTTACGTAAAACATGACGGCAATGAACGGCAGCGAGAATGTCACTGAACAACGCGCTTATGAGCAGAACAAGAAGTGTAGCAGCCCTCGTAAGCTGGTTATTCTTTTGTTTGTTAGCAGCTGTTATAATTTTGGTATTAGGGGCATTGATTCTGTTGTTTGTCCTATTGTCCTCTCAAAGGGTAACAAAGTCGACCGTTCATTATGCACCTTTCTACGTTTCGCCGGTAACCGTCCTTTGCAAATCAACAACGTGAAATGACCAAGTTTCTTGAAGAACGTGAAAGTATTGATATAAATACATTTTCTAAAAGGAGTCGTCCTCGCCGCCGCCGTCTTTTTCTCGGTTTTTTCTGTCTTCAAAATATGACGAATCGCGCGAATCGTAAAATACATGAGTAAACAGGTGCTAGAACACAACCAAGTTAAAGAAAATCCTTCTTTAATTGAAGTAAATGGAGACTGCAACTTTGTCACAATTTCCTCTCACTTTTAATTATCACGTTAACTTATATTGCTTGGAAAACTCCGAGAATAAAGAAAACGTTACGAGCACGCTTGAACACCGAGGACCCAGCCATAAGAATCTTGATTTTCTTTATCTTTTACCATTTAATTTTATTCCGTTCATAACAAATTAGCGATTAACGAGACAACTTTAAGGCCCCGACCACACTTCGCCGGGGGAATTTGAAAACGTTTTATTTCTACGGTTAGGCCTACCGTCCACACTAATCCGCCACGGAAACAGGACTTCAAAAACGCTCTTCAAACCGAAGGAATTTGAAAACGCCGGCTTTGTGTTTTGGTGCCGGACGGAAAACACTTTTAAAGCGGAGTTTTTCGAAAACGATAACATCGCGATAATCGTGTGATTTACCTGCCCGAGTTTTCTTCAAACACAAATCCAAAATGACCGGTGATCGTTGCGTTTTCAATTTTCTCCAACGTACTGTGGACGGAAAACTTTTGACGCGTTTTCAGAGTGAAAACGCCGTTTTCAAAATTCTCCGGCGTAGTGTGGACAAAGCAATATTCAACACAACTTTCAGAATTCTCACAGTTTATTATCCATTTTCTCCCATTCAATTTCACTCGTTCAGATCACAGGATTCTGAATTAAATAAATCAATTGTTCATACACAAGTCTACATTCACATCATTTAAATACTATCTATTAAATATGAAGATCTACCTACAATCATTTGTACCTAGTAAAAACCCTATATGAAAATAAAAAGATGAAATGATCATGGAAACTAACTACAAAATAAAATGCTTCAATATTACAGTGGAAGGAATTGTAAGTAATCTAGAATGATCCACGATGGGTTTTTGATTAAATATTGGCAGAGATGAAAGACATTTTATGGGGAATTTAAAGTGACGAAATGGTTCTTTCATTGAATTGGCTTCATGCGCTTAAAATTCGTGCGAATACGGATTTAAAGGGTTTGGACGACGGAGGCATAGATTACAGTGACGAATCGAGAAAAAAACGGCGTCTTGTCACCAGTTTTTCGTAAGAGAGACTTCCCGTCCCCTCTAACCAACTATAGAGACAGTTTGGCCCCATTTTTTACACTGGAGTGTTCACCACAACCTTCAGCCAACACAGAATAAAGAGAAAAAACATCAGGCGGTATTCCGGCGTGAAAGTACAGCTTACTCTTTCAAATCAACGCATTTGCCTTCGTTTAAGAAAAATATATGACCGCTTACTAAAATCATACATTTTAACTTTGAGGAGCTTAAAGAACACCTTAATTTTCTGCCGTTCTTAGCCAAGATAAAGAATAAAATGTCAAACCAACGACGAACTTAAATAAAGAAGCTACGTCACTGTTTGAGCATTTTAAAAAGTCTAGCTTAAATTTTTCAAGTTCGTTTGTAACCCGTGTCAATCTTCAGCATCCTTAACCAGCCTTGTTCCTTAATAGTTTAATATTATCTCTTTTGTGTTTCTCAAACTTAGTTAACTATTATTTTCAGGTTTCCTTCAATTTAAATGTAATTTTGTATGTTTACAAAATAACTCCAAATACCGTGACTGAGTTCCTTTTAATTTACGCGTTGGGAAGTGAATTTAAAGGAATGGATTTTTACGAGATGCGTCGTAAACTCAAAAACAAAATAGGGTTGGTCTCTATCCAACATTTTCTATGTACAGATTAAAACACAAGCGTTACTCAAGCTAAGCTATCTGTTTAAAAACAATATTTATATTCACTGGAATAACTGTTTGCAGCCATCTTGAATCGAGCAGTATCGGCTTCTGACCAAGCACTCGGGTTTCCGATAATCATACGAATTTGTTACGAAAGTGTCCGAGAGGACTCGACAAAACGACCGAAAGCGTGATTCAAGACGGCAGTAAGTTAAGTGAACCAATAATATCGATGTTAACATGTCTTTTCACAAACTTGGCACATAGCATGGGATAAATGGTGCTGTGTCACACGCTGGACTCTGCAATGATCAGTTGAACGTCGTGACGACTCTTCCTACGAAAATTAATGAAAATTTTGTTACACATGCTTAAATAAGCGAAAAAACGTTTGATACCGGGTTTTGTTGGTGATCGACGGAACATTTTTAATTTTGTGTATTACCGGACACGTCCGAATCCGCCGAAAGAAGAATTTGTTTTCAGATACCAATATAGGCATGCAATGCGTGCAAAAGCTAAACCTACATTGTGGAGAGTTTGTGCACTTTTTGGTGCCAAACTCGTTCATGGCCCTATTCTCCCTGAGGAGAGATAGCCAAACTCGTTCAAGACTAAGTCTTGTTTTGTTCTTTCATTAAGTGGACAATTTTTTCGTCAAGCTCTTTGGCCCCCTTTCTCCTTTTCATTCAAATTTTAAGATTTTTAAGGACCCAACTTATACTTTCCACGGATCTTCAAGACCATAAATTTTTATTTTCAAACTATAGGACTTTCAAGATGCGTGCTAAATGTGACACTGTAACATAGCCCTCTTCGCATACCATTGAATAATGATCTCACATATAGCCAGATTATTTGTTAGACAACACTTTTGCCGCTTTTGCCGCTTTTGCCGCTTTTGGTTGACCGCTGTGGTTTGTGTAATGTTTTCTAGCAAACTCCTTGCGTAGTAGGTTCCACTCAAGGTCTGGTCACATCATGACAACAGGAATCTCAGCCAGCAACGTCTATTATGCAATTTAAAGTTCACCACACAGGGCGCACTACAGAATTAGAATGGAAATAACTCACACGTACTTTTCATTCGGCGGACGTATGAAGGGGACGTGATTGTAGAGGACTTGCCAGATGTCTTTGTGGCGGTGTGTACTGGTCACTTGTAGGAACTGTAGAGTCCTACACAAAAACGGAAACAGAAACAGGTCGGTTACATTAAAGATTCGTTGACTCATCGCCACAGAGCCAACCCGGGACTCCGGTCGTTTGAATCATCCACGGGCAATTATAAAATCCACCCTGAGTATGACGAACATGAAATTTCTCCCTAAATATCAATACGTCATGGAGAAGACATGTATCGAGAAAAACAAAAATCATCATTTACTTGCCCCCAGGCAGCACCCAAAGTCTATCGTTCAGGCGACTAACTTACTCATGCTCTAAGGATGTCCTCTCTAGTTATCATTCTTTTATGCTACATGTTTTGTGGCATAAGGACTAAATAATTAGAAAGAAGATTACAAAGGAAGATAGTAATTACTGGTTGAAGCATTAAAGAGAACGGTCTCGAGTTACTATAAATGTTACTGTTATCGTTGCGGTATTCACGCTGTGACTATTATAACACGAATGCACGAGTCTTAACAAAAGACCGACAGAAAAATAATGCAAGGAACGTTTTTTTCTGAGGTGGTATGGCGTGACACGATAGCTAACCTGCTTAGGACTTCCGGTCAGAGAGAAGGTGGAAGATTGTTCGAGGTTTTGAACCATTTGACGAGACTCCGCCAGCAGACGATGAAGTTTACTGGTCGGTGAACTGTCCCCCTCCGCCTGGGGTAAGAACGAAAAAGAGGAGAAAGAAAAGACGAGTTCACTT